GCCTTGCAATGAGACTATCACAGCTTCTGAACTTGCGTGGCTATTCCTCAAGGTGGTCTTTAAATATCATGGAATTCCTGGACACTGGATCTCAGATAGGGGAGCAGTTTTCACTTCAAACTTTTTTAAGGAGTTCTCTAAACTCTTAAACATGGAACAACGCTTCTCTACAGCTTATCACCCTCAAACAGATGGCCAGACAGAGAGAGTCAACTCTGTACTTGAACAATATCTAAGAATTTATACAAACTATGCTCAAGACAACTGGGCAGATCTTCTCCATCTTGCAGAATTTGCTTACAACAACACAGTCTCTAACACCACAAAAGAGACACCTTTCTATGCAAACTATGGTTATCACCCTAGGTTTGAAGTGGCAGAACTGAATTGTCCTGAAAATTTCAAAAACCCTTCTGCTACTGAAAGAATCATCTACCTTAAGGGCCTCCAGGACTATCTCAAGGTTCAAATACAGCGTGCACAAGACGAGCAGGCTCAGGCCTTTAACAGGGGGGTGGTTGCACCACAATTCAAAGTTGGTGATCAAGTCTTTTTGTCTAGAAGACATATCACAACTACTAGACCTTCAGACAAACTTGATACTAAAAGACTTGGACCTTTTAAGATCACAAGGACTATTGGCAAGAATGCTTTCGAGCTTGCATTACCACCTACTTGGACTATCCATAATGTCTTCCATGCATCTCTCTTGTCTAAGGCACAAGAAAGTTCCTTAAGACCACTTCAGTCTCCTCCACCTCCTGTTCTGATCTTGGATCAACCAGAATATGAAGTAGAGTCTATCCTTGACAAAAAGACACTTAGAGGTCAGGACTACTTCCTCGTTAAGTGGAAAGGCTATCCTACAAGTGACAACACTTGGGAGCCTAAGAGAAATCTAAAAAATGCATCTAAGCTCATTCTAGAATTTCTTTCTAAGAAAGCCACCTGGCTAAAGGGCAAGCAGACAGCCCACAAACGTCCTTAAAAGGGGGATCATGTCATACTGACATTCGTTGCACTCAGTTTGCTATCAAACTCAAGAGCAAACTTAGAAATCTCCTCCTCAAACCTACAAGTCACCATACATATCTTGGCTTATCACACCAACAACAGAAGCAATACTACTCAACGATTGCTGCAAACTCTTCTACTACATCTGTTTATGCTACATACATCACGGCATATCATTTGGACACTCATTGAACAAGTTATTAAGAAAATCTCCTCCTTAAGGGGGTGGGCCAATACTACCACATGGCATATCTCTACCAACTAGAGGCCTAGGAACATGAACGATAGCTCTAGAAGCTTCTACAACCCTCTATGATTCATTACACGTCATCGCTCCTTAGTTACCCACAAGATTGGTTAAGTTATGACATAATTTGTCTATAGGTACTGTGACCTTGGACCTCCTTTTCACTTCCTATAGGCTAGGAACCCAAGAGATGGTTCTATGGGATTCTCTTACGTTCACTACATGATTAGCAAGCTAGTTGTGGGTCGCACTTGATTTCTAATACATTTACCAAGCCTGGTTAGTCATGGAAAGTCATGGAAAATGAGAGAACTACACTCCTTTGGCATAAATAGGATTGCCCTTTCCTTAAGAAAGGGCAAGCAGACAATACAGTAAATCGACTAGCACATACTTCTACGTCTTTTCCAAGCTTCCAAGCATTGATCTTGTTATTCTCTATTTTTGAAAAGTCAGTGAGGTGCTAACCTCTGACTTACCCCTGAGTTCTCAGACTCAACATTTGTTGCAACTTGTCTAAACCACTTCACCACATCATACACCTGATTGCTGCGTTGTGGAATAGTCTAAGCTACAACCCTTTGGCTCTGTTTCCTAAGACAGTGTGTTGTCTTAGTAAATTCATCCCTTCCTTGGGTGGCTAGATTCTCATATCTGGTGCACCCACCATTACAGTTCTCAGACGTTCTGGTATGGCTGGCTTGGGGAGGAACGCGGTTCGGGTGAACAGAGCGGATGTGGCTCGAGTCGGCTTCGACGCTGATGACGCCTTTGCCGTATCCGTGGTACGTGTGGACGTCCTTGCGAGAGTGGGTAGAGGATTCAATTCGTTGTTCCGGCGCCGTTCCTGGTGGAAAGCGGTAAGTTCTCGTACCATGGTCTGGTATTCTCCCTTCCATTGGTTTTTGATGATCGCGACACGGCTGCGGAATTGAGGAGTCAACTTGTTCCACATGTACCGAAACCATTCTGACTCGGAGACTTGTCCTGTGATAGCTGCACTTTGGAAACGAGCCTTGAACTCTGGGAAGGTTTCGCTAGCATGCCCTTTCTCTCCCATTTGCAGGTCGTCGAAGAGGTTCCTGGCCTGTTCCGTCTCGTTGCCTGTGAGGTAGTATGAACCTAGTAGATCCATCATCTCCTCAGCACTGCGGAACCCATGCGTAGCGGACAGGTATTGGGGCTCTAGGTAGGTCTTCGCCAGGCTGGTCGTAGTTCCCCATATCAACGCTCTTCTCGAGACGTCGGTAAGGTAGTGGTCCTCATTGACTACGAGTCGATCCCGAATCGAAGCGCTCCATTGTAAGAAGGTATGTTCTACCCCATCGCTGAGAGGAAGGATTTTCTCAGAGATGGTTGATTTCTTATAGCGATTCGGAGGGTCCTCAGTGTGCATTCGTGATGACCCTGGAATTGAGGGAGAACGAGTGTTCCGAAGAGGCGGCAATTGAACTGTCTCGGGGGTGTTTCGTGTACGAGGCGTTCGTTGCTCCGTAACTTCTACTGTGGGTATGGGGGCATCCACCGGCGGTGTGGACGGGATTCTGGTCTGGGATGCCGACAGGATAACTAGTAGATCCTTGACCTCCTGTATCTGTGCTTCGAGGTGGGCCATTCGACTCGGGATGTCTTCGGATGGCACAGACGTCGTAGCTGCAGCGGTGGTTTGTCTGGTAGTCATTCTGGGCAGTTGACCGTCGTTGTCTTGGGGTATGTTTGATGTCGGCTTTTTCGACATATTGCCTCGGGTGTGTATCGGTACCGATACGAAAGAGCTTGACTTCCGGTAGCTCGTAGCTATCAACGCTCTTGTCCACAATTTCCTTGTGCTATGAGGGGGTTCTTAAGGATCTCGTATCCTATTTGGTGCCAACGCGTCGGCGACTTTACCAGCTCTGAAGAATCAAACCCTGATCCACTGGCTGTCCATGAGATCTCTGGAATCACGGCTATTTGAAGTCGTCAGGTCTCTCCTCTGAAACATCACCGAGTCGCAGTCGATGGTGTAACAGTAGTTCTCCTGAGTCGTTCCGGTGTGGGATATTATTTAAGTACGGCCGTCCCCGGCAGGCGTGATCTTTTTTTGTATAATGTAATGACACAGGGCACCCAGCTCACAGTAATAGCATATGAGAGTGCGAGTCAGAGGCTAAACGGATGCTATCCTATAGGTCTACTACGAAGGATACAAAAAAGATGAAGAGAGGAACCCCCGTTGAGTCAATCTCCTTAAGTACCCGAAACGGGTCCAACTCGGATAACCTACCCTAATGCTCCTCACGTGACCGTAACCTGCCCGACTCTGATGCTTTCCATCACTGAGGGCTTTGACATCCTTACATTAACACTTTAACAAAGCTCCGCAAGCACATCTATGTGTTTAGAAATCGTCGAGGGTGGAAGGATAGTCTTCGTTCTCACGCTATAGCCACTGGAATCAAGCCTGTTACTCTTACAATTGATATGCTAGTATGATGGAACTCAACATACCATATGCTTCAAAATGCATTGTCAATGAAGGCACTAATCACAGCGCTTTGTGCATCACAGACACTCTTGATACAAGCATGCGTGATATCTAGATTTCTTCGAAAGAATGGGAATTACTTCATGCTCTTGCAGAGTTCTTTGAGATTTTTAAGCGTATCTCAGAAAAGGTGCAAGAGATGGGTATCCAACACTTAACTACTGTGTTCCATATTATCTACGACTAATGGATAAAATTAAGAAGATCAAGAAGACTGTTAAGCATACATGTATCAACGAAGCTTGTACTGCTGCATTCAACAAATTAGACGACTATTTCTCACTTGCAACAAGCCAACGGTCAAGCCATTCAACAGTTGCAACAATATGTAATCCTCGGTTTAATTTTAGTACATTTGACTTCTATTTGCCTAAAAGCTCTTAACACAAGCAAAGAACGAGCAAGAGCACAGTTTGCAGCTTGCAGCTTGTTATAACAAGTATAAAGCACGGGACAATGATATTCGAGTAGAGGAAATGGATGCTATGCTTGATAACGAGGATGAGGATATACCTCAAGAAGTAGACTATGAGGATGGGATGTTTAAGCATCGAAAGCCTATACTTCAAGAGGTTGAATGGAGACGGTGGCTTAATGAGCCAGGAGTTGATAAGCCTAAGACTAATATCCTTAAATATTGGCAAGCAAAGCAGTATCAGTATCTAATAATTGCACAAATAGTCGAGACTATTTAGCAATTCCAGCAACATCAGCAGCATCAGAACGGGTCTTTAGCCCAAGGAGCTGACGTTGTCACAAAGAAAAGGAATAGACTATTACCTTCAACAATTAGATATTTACTATGTCTACGGGATTGGGGGATAATTGTCGACGATGAGGATGTCGAAGATGAGGATGTCGAAGATGCAAGTGAAGATATAGGTTAGGCATAGTTAAATATTTCCATAGTTTTCATATTCTATACACTCTATTTAAGCCTCAAAGATTCGAATCATGAGTCGAATTAGATTCGAGTCATGATTCGGCGAATACCTCAAAAATATGAATGAATCACCAAATCGCCGAATCGTATTCGGGAGGTGATTCGCCGCACACTGTTCAAGATTATATTCGAATTGCTAACCCTGTTTGTATTCTAGCTTATTTGGGTTTAATTGCTTGTGTTACTGAGGCGCTGGAATTATAGCTGGAATGCACGGCTGAGGTTCTGATTTTTGAGAGATTGAAATACCATAGCTATATCGCCATCTTCGTTATATATATGCCCCAAAACCTCAGTTCAACAACGGCCCCCCATTCACAACCCCTTCAACCACCTCCACCCCTTCCCAGCCTTCTCCCTCCTTCTCTTCTCCGCCCAACCGCCCAACTCCCTCCATATCCTCTCCTTCTCCGCCTGCGTCGGGTTCGTGGCCAACCCACTCGTAGTAGTCGCTACAAACACCCTGGCACCTTTCCAAACCTCCGCCTCCTCCCCCTCTTCCTTCAAATCATTCGACTTTCCAAGAGCTTCACTCTCATCCTGCCATCCATACCTAAACTCCTCCTTCTTGATCGCCCTCCCATGCCTAACCCTCCAAATGCTCTCCCAAATGCTCTTCCCGACAATACACACCGCCTCGGGTTTGAAGGTCCTCATCTTCTCTTCTAACACCGCGACGCTGTCGTCCATCTCCTGCTTACTCAGCTCCGCACCATTGCGTGTCGGGCGAGCAACGATGTTGGTATTCCCCAAACTGTAAAGCGCAGGTAAGCTCCTATCTTCAGCTGGCTTCATCAACCGGGTAGTGAGACCGGAGGAGTAGAGGAGTTTCCAGAACCGGTTGGAGGGGTGGGAGTAGGCGTGTCCCTCGGTAGCGGTGCGGATGCCGGGGTTGAGGCCGACGAAGGCGCAGATTAGGTGCGGTTCGAGGATATCGATGAGCTCGTTTAGGTGTGCGTATTTGGAGGGTGGTGCGTAGCCTGAGGGGGTGCGGGAACGGGACTTCTTGTTTGGGGAGGAGGAAGAAGAGGAGGAGGGGCGGGAGAGAGTGTCTGTTCCTCGCTTTCGGTTCGGGGAAGGGGAATTGGAGGGCTCGGTCTTGATAATGAGGGTCTGAGAGGGGGAATTGGATTCCTCGACTTTGGGTGTGAGACTGCGAGGGCTGCGGCGGCGGAGGGTTTGCGCTGGGGGGGCGGAGAAAGCGAAGGATGAGAGGTTTAGACGGCCTTTGAAGCTTGGTGAGGAGACGGGGATTGCCTGAGACATGTCGATGGACTGTTATATTATATATATATATATGAATACTCTCCACCTAGTATCGTTGACATGCCTCAAATGTGCCAACAGATAACATGTGGTAGCCTTGTAGCCTTGTAGCCTTGTAGCCTTGTAGCGTTGTAGCCTTGTAGCCTTGTAGCCTTGTAGCCTTGTAGCCTTGTAGCGTTGTACCTTGTAGCCTTGTAGCCTTGTAGCCTTGTAGGCCTTGTAGCCGTAGCCTTGTCAGGAGGTGGTCCTCACCGCCTAGAGGTTGAAGTGGCAGAATAAAGGAGAAGCCCATCGAGAGCCAAGAGCCGAGAGCCCACTAGAGCCACCCACTAAAGTCGCGAACAACCCACTAAAAATCCAGCATGCAAGTGCCCCGAAATGCCCTAAAGTATCCCTTCAATGCCCCTATACCTCCCCCTGTAGAGATTTTCGTCTTATTTGCTGCGGTCCACGGCAGTTGCGCCCTACGTACCCCAGCACTCCATAAAATAAACAATAGACAATAAATAATAAACAATAATAAACAAAACACAAACTTGGCTGATTTTTGATTTTAGCATAGTAAGAGATCCTCAATGTGGGCGGCTTCATCGAATCAGACATACACTTCCGTTTTGTCCCGCATTGCAACTTTCCTGGTCTATCCCACCTATCCCACCCTATCCCACTCCGATTCTCCAATAAAGTGGTTCATACATAGCCCTTGTCCGGCATGGATCTTCGTTCTTGTAAGATCGTCACCCCGCCAGCCTAGCCCCACCGCCTCAACTGGAACACGAAAGAGAGGGAAGCGGGGAGGGGGGATGGGGGGTTAGGGATGGGGGGCGGTGGACTCGAATGAACGAGCCATGACGACTTTCCCAAGCTTTATAAACACCCATTGACCACCACCAACTTTCTTTATCCCATTCCTCTCCATACCCCATTATACATACCCCATTATACTCCTCAAGCTTCAAGCTACCTACCTACCTCTCCACCCCTCTACCTCCCACAACCCCCCCAACAAACCACCCACCATGGAAGCCGCCCAAAACCTCGTCCACAAGCTCATCAGCTCCGACAAACCCTCTCCCCTCCCCCAACCCACCGCCACCGAGCTCCAGCAGCTCCGCGACACCTACGAAAAAGCCTCCCAATCCCACGTCTTCGCCTTCTACGACTCCCTCAGCTCCTCCGAGCAAGCGACCCTCTACAACCAGCTCTCCCAATTCGACCCCGCGCGCATCAACGAGATTACAGACCGCGCCCTCAACCCGCCGAAGGCAACTGAAGATGCACCACACGCAGGCCTCGAGCCCCTCCCCGAGAGCGCAACAGCTAGTATCCTCGACTCTGCGCCGGAAGATCTGCAGACCTGGAACGACGCTGGGATCGACCTGATCGCAGCTGGTAAAGTCGCTGTGCTCCTCCTTGCTGGCGGACAGGGGACAAGACTCGGCAGCTCCGCGCCGAAGGGATGCTACGACATTGGGCTCCCGTCCAAGAAATCCCTCTTCCAGATCCAAGGCGAGCGTATCCGCAAGATCCAGCGTCTCGCTGAGAAGAAGTCCGGCGCCGCTGTCGGCTCTGTCACCGTGCCTTGGTATGTGATGACCAGCGGCCCGACGCGCGGCCCGACAGAGGCGTATTTCCAGGAACACGAGTACTTCGGGTTGAAGAAGGAGAATGTGCATATCTTTGAGCAAGGCGTGCTGCCCTGCATCTCTAACGAGGGGAAGATCCTGTTAGAATCCAAGAGCCGCGTTGCTGTTGCGCCGAACGGGAATGGTGGGATTTACGAGGCGCTGGTGACTTCCAACATTACCGCCGACATGCGGAAACGCGGGATCGAGCATATCCACGCGTACTGCGTTGATAACTGCCTCGCCAAGGTCGCAGATCCAGTCTTCATCGGTTTCTCAGCCTCCAAACACGTATCCATCGCCACGAAAGTGGTGCGCAAGCGCAACGCTACCGAGTCGGTCGGATTAATCCTTCTCAAGAACGGCAAGCCCGACGTAGTCGAGTACTCCGAGATCGACTCCGCGACCGCCGAAGCCAAGGACCCCAAGCAGCCCGACGTGCTGAAATTCCGCGCCGCTAACATCGTCAACCACTACTACTCCTTTGCCTTCCTCGAGACGATCCCGCAGTGGTCGGCCCAGCTCCCGCACCACGTCGCGAGGAAGAAGATCCCCTTTATCGACCCTAGCAGTGGTGAGACGACCAAGCCGGAGAAGCCGAATGGGATTAAGCTGGAGATGTTCATCTTTGATGTGTTCCCGCTCCTCAACCTTGATAAGTTCGCGTGTATGGAGGTCAGGAGGGAGGATGAGTTTAGTCCGCTTAAGAATGCGAGGGGGACGGGAGAGGATGACCCCGATACGAGCAGGAGGGATGTCATGGCGCAGGGAGAGAGGTGGGTTAGGGAGGCTGGGGGGGTGGTGGTGTCCGAGGGGGATAAGAAGGGGGTTGAGGTGTCGCCGCTGGTGAGTTATGGGGGGGAGGGGCTGGAGAAGCTGAAGGGGAAGGAGATTGTGGCGCCGGCGGTGTTGGAGAAGGAGTTGGAGTAGGGGGTGCTGGAGGGAGTCTGGGTAAAAGGGATTAGTTAGGCGTCAGTGTTGATTGAGGCTTTGCCTGTAGTGTAGTTATGATCTGGGCTAGAGAAAAGCGGGTAGAAATATTTTATTTGTTCTTCTCACTTGGTCGCACTTGATTGCTGTGAGAACCATGTGACATATATACACGCCCAATCCACACAGCAAAGGGGAATATATGATGTGCGGGAGTGTTCAAAGTGCTTGCCTGTTCGTCGTTACCAGGGCGCCAGGTTCATCTCACTCATAGCTACAATTAACCCTAGCATTCTGGGTTTTTTACTTGCTAGGGATCGAAAAAGAGGGTCTATTCTTGGTATAGCTATCTATCTCGATTTTTGAAAATAGGCTAGAATTGACGAATAAAAATGATCCAACAATCCCATAATCGCCGCGCGCGTGCGTGCGGTAAAGTCGATTCAACCCCCCATCATCCCCGTGATCCACCACATCTGCGCGCGGTGGGAGCAGGCTGTGATGGACCCAACAGATAATGCATGATGGGATCACCTCTCGCACGTCTCTTGTTACCGAATCGCCGCCCGGTAGCCGATTTTATGCCTCACCACCCTGGGGTCCACCACATCTGCGCGCGGAGGGAGTTATGATGGACCCAAGAGCCCACGCGGCCGTTCAACCCTCGTCCTATAACAACTAACATCCCCAGGAGAATGAATTCTAGCTTGCCAACCCTCCCCCCAACCCCCCCAATATGCCCGTAGACGATGGCACCCAATACCCCCATGGTCTACCAGGTCTGCGCGCGGTGGGAGCAGCCGTGCCAAACCTTATTAAGGAACTGGATTCCATCGTCTTTGAGCACCTCGGGCACCACCGCACCACGGTTGAAGCCCCCTCATATTTGGTCAACTGATGGGAGGTTTCTGGGCCCGGGTATAATCGCCACGTATGTCTCGATCCCCGGAGAATACTGGACTCGGCGGATATTGGGCGTTCGAGATGGCGCGATTGAGTGGTGTTGGGGGCGGCCATGTTGGATGTTTGACTGGGAAGGGGCGGCGAGTAGTGGTCGTGGTGGCAAGGGGGCGGTGGTGCGAGGGGAGAGAGATGGGGGGTGGTGGATGCTGAGATTGCTATAGGGCATGGAGCTATCAACCCCCTCTTACATGTCTTTGACGCTGAAATTATCAGAGCCTAGAAGGGCCTACACAGCACACCCTCTGCCTGCCCATAGACATCAGACACAGCCGCCTCTAGCTATGTATCAACAACACCTTAGTTATATGGTGTCTCTAGGGAGAAGCATCCTTCTCCTCCTAGTGGGCCTTTCTCGCCTACTAGGAAGCTATGCAAGTCTTCGATATCAAAACCTGCTAGTCCCCTAGACACACTAGGATTGAAGGCAACGAAGCAGCAGACCAACTCGCAGACCTAGGGCTGATTTTGATATTGAGGCTCAACTGCGGATCTACGGGAGCGTGGGGCATCACGTGTTGGTTCGCGACGAAAGAGGGTTAGGGCTTAGTCATGGGTGTGGCTGAAAACACGATTCGGATTCCTCATCCGCCATACCCGTATTGGCCACTAGCGCATATGCCAACTCTCTATGGTTATAAGGTTAAACCTAATTCAGTATAGCGTCATGCACCAAGATTTGATCGTGGCAGTTACCCCCCGACCTTGTTCGCCTCCAACGACATCCATCGTATCTCGTACTACTATAAGGGTGCTGGTACCGGAAAAACCGACCCATCTGAAAAGTAAAACATCACAAAACAAAACTGGCATACAGATACCCTACTGCGCCAGGAAAGGAGATCATCTTATTGCGCATAAGAAGGCAGTGGTTTACAGTTTTTATTTTATTCAGCGACGTCACGATGAAGTTCTCCGTGGCACTCATATTATCGATCGCGCTGTCGTCGACGGCCAATGCGCTGGTTCCGCGCGCGGAGCTGGTGGTCAGGGATAGTGAGGCGACAGTCCAGCAATTAGAGGTCCGTGAGGCCGAGGGCACCTTCGATGCGTCCGAGGAGCTGTGGAAGCGCAAGGGAGGTGGTGGCGCCGGTGGTCGTGGTGGAGGAAGCAGTGGAGGAAGCAGCGGAGGGAGAACCGGGGGTGCCGGAACCAGCAGTGGAGGAAGCAGTGGTGCTGGAAGAGGTAGGTTTTCACCAATTTCATCTTGGCCCAAGTCAGATCAAAGCCACGCCCGAAATCCGAGCCACGTCCGAAATCCGGTTCACGCCCCGATTCCAAATTACGCCCCGATTCCAAATCATGCCCAGACTCCAAATCATGCCCAGACTCCAAATCACGCCCAGACTCCAAACGCCTTGGATCCAAACCGCGTCCTCGTATGAGACCCCAAACACCCGTTTGACAGCGTCGCGTGCGAGTTCATGAGTTGTTTCTATGGCATTCCTATATCGTTTTCTTTATGTTTCTGTGGCAGTCCTTACTCTATGAGTGGAAGACATCAAAATTGCACTTTGGCGATCCTTGGCAGCCTTGGTTTCTCTTACGGACTAGTGCTAACGTCCATTAGGTACTGGCTTAGGCTCATCCTCGTCCTCAACAGGCGGCCAAACCAGAACTGGATCAGGACCGAGTCCAGCCTACGGTGGTGGCGGATACTACGGCGGCGGCGCTGCGGTCCCATATAGAACTGGGGCGGCGACAAGGAGCGGCATTTCCCCTGTCCTCCTTGGTGTCGGAGTCGGTCTTGGAGTCGGAGTACTCGCCTATGGTCTCGCTGGCACATGGCACCACCCCGTTTACTCGTACCCGTACAAGAACACCTGGACCTTTTACAACATCACCGTCGACGCAAACCAAACCAAGCCGGTCCAGTGCCTTTGCGAAGAGTACTCGGAGTGCGGCTGCGACGACAACGACAACGCCCAGTACCAGAAGGATGTCCTGGGCAACGGCAGCTATGCAGGCCTCAACAAGAGCGTGGTCTCGGTGGCCGATATCCAGGGAAAGAGCACCATCATCCTGAACGGCACACTTCCCAACGGCACAACCGCTGCTGGAGGCACTGAGGAGGCTGATGGCTCTACTGACTCCTCTTCTGGTACTAGCACTGCTGCCACAAACGGTGCATTCAGCCTCACGCACGGCATGATGCAGTCCGGCGTCTACTGTATCATGGCGGCCGCGGTCGGCTCCGCAGTGTTCCTGGCTTAAATACCCTTGGGTCTACATCTTGACCTGCTAATATTTGTTGGGAAACCTTCTAAATTTGTATTCTAAGCGACGACTTGTGCGATTATCCGTTTGGCTTGGCGGTTTGGAGAGGCTCACGGCAACCCTATAAGCATTGAAGACCCTCGAATACAGGGCTTTTTATCAGAATAGTGGGCTGCTGTCCTTTTTATGGCGTTTATGGGACCACTGGACGACTATGGTCGCTGTCAATATTGGAATAGGTATCAATAACTACCTATGCGGATGCTATTAGATCCAATCAATCATGATTGTTGCGCTCGTTCTTATAATATAGAACTATATATTCACATATTTATCACACTCTTCAACTTTGCTGCAATTTAGAGTAGATGCTTCAACACGTCCCTTAATAATTTCTCGCTCTGCCATAAACGGCCAAACCAGTCATGTGACCAGCCCTGCATTGTGGCGACTGTGGACCACCCACCGAAAGCTCTAGAAGTACATGGGCTGCATGGTGATAATATTGTTATCTTGCACCTCCATCATCACTTCTTTATACCTCCAAAACGATTCCGTAAGAACGAACAGCTTCTTGACCACCTAATATTATTCTAAACCCAACTAATTAATTATACCATAAACGTCAGATTCATCATGAGCGCAGACGAGCTCAAGGCTTTGGGGAACAAGGCAATCGCGGAGAAGAATTTCGACGAGGCTGTGTAAGTTTTACTTGAGCCTGGCCTCACGTCTTCACGAGACCCAGACTGTCTCCGTTTCCTAGTTTCTCCACACGCAGAGGATCCTTGAAGACCCAGCTAGCTGACTTGTCAAACAGTGAGAAATTCACCGAAGCCATCGCCATCGAGCCAACCAACCACATCCTCTACTCAAACCGCTCGGCCGCGTACGCCTCGAAGAAGGATTACGAGCACGCCCTCGAGGATGCCAACAAAGTCACAGAGATCAAGCCGGACTGGGCGAAGGGATGGGGACGCAAGGGCGCTGCTATGCATGGTCTTGGAGACCTGTTGGGGGCGCACGATGCGTACGAGGAGGGGCTGAAGCTGGATCCGGCCAATGCACAGAACAAGAATGGGTTGGCGTCGGTAAACAAGGCCATTGATGCTGAGGCCAAGGAAGGTATGTAAAGGAATGCCATCTAGATGTGAATTTTTGTACTGACGAGCATAGATGGTGTTACAGGCGACCCAACTGGTGGACTGGGCAACATGTTCAACGATCCCCAGCTCCTCCAAAAGCTTTCTGCGAACCCGAAAACCGCGCCGTTCCTCGCGGACCCGTCGTTCATGTACAAGCTCAACCAGATCAAGTCCCAGCCCAGCATGTCGCAAGACCTATTCAGCGACCCAAGGATGATCCAAGTCCTCGGTGTCCTCATGGGTGTTGACATGGACATGATGGGAGGTGGCGGCGCCGCTGGCCAAGCCGGCCCTGGCGCCAGAGAAGCCGAGGAGGACGTCCCCATGGCCGACGCCCGCCCAACCAAGCCCGAGCCAGAGGCAGAGGAGGACGAGGAAGCCATCGCCAAGAAGGCGGCCAAGGAGGAGGCCGACAAGGAGAAGGCGCTCGGAACAGCCGAGTACAAGAAGCGCAACTTCGACGACGCCGTGGTCCACTACACCAAGGCCTGGGAGCTGCACAAGGACATCACGTACCTCAACAACGTGGGCGCGGCCAAGTTCGAGAAGGGCGACTACGAGGGCGCCATCGCGGCGTGCAAGGAGGCCGTCGAGTACGGCCGCGAGGTCTACGCCGATTTCAAGATGATCGCCAAGTCGTACGCGCGCATCGGCTCTTCCTACGAGAAGCAGGGCGATTACGTCCAGGCCATCGCTAACTACCAGAAGTCGCTCACCGAGCACCGCACCCCGGATGTCGTGAACAAGCTCCGCGCCGCCGAGAAGAACAAGATCGATACCGCGAAGAAGGCGTACATCGACCCCGCTAAGGCCGAGGAGGCGCGCGAGCTCGGAAACGCAAAGTTCAAGGAGTCTGACTGGCCCGCTGCTGTCGCTGCGTATACTGAGATGACGAAGCGCGCGCCGGAGGATCCGAGGGGTTACTCGAATCGCGCGGCGGCGTTTATGAAGTTGCTTGAGTTCCCGTCTGCGCTGGATGACTGCGATGAGGCTATCAAGCGCGATCCGAAGTTCATCCGCGCGTACCTGAGGAAGGCGCAGGCGTACTGTGGTATGAGGGATTATAGCAAGTGTCTTGATATGTGTGAGGCGGCTACGGGGGTTGATGAGTCGGGGGCGAATAAGAGGGAGATTGATCAGCAGCAGCAGAAGGCGCTGCAGGCTATGTATGCGACGAGGGATGGGGAGACGGAGCAGCAGACTAAGGAGAGGATTCAGAAGGACCCTGAGGTAAGATAAACCCACCCCCATGCGTGGCAAATTGACAATACTGATGATGTTGCTATAGATCATGGCAATCATGTCCGACCCAGTCATGAACAGCATTCTCCAGCAAGCCCAGAACGATCCGTCGGCGCTGCAGGAGCACATGAAGAACCCGGCGATCCGCGCGAAGATCACCAAGCTCACTTATGCGGGTGTTATCCGTATGGGGAGGTAAGCGCGTTGATTTCTGACATGGTCTCTTATCCGCAAGCTTGAGCCAGTGGTGGGATGGTGGATCGAAGATTGTATGGATGGGGGATTGGAATAGGAGATTGGATGGGGCAAAGGGCGTTTGTACTTTACATAACTCGTTGCTGATTAGCGAAATGTGATGACTGCATGCTATATTTATTGTGCTCGTATGGCTGTTATGGGGAATAAGTTGCTCCCGTATTGTAGAAGTGCTATCGCTGTGATTTGGAGCCAGGTAATTAAAGTGGATGAGGATATACCGTTACCGCCGGGGCCGGACTAATCGATGGACTTGTAGTTGATATCTAGGCCTTTGCGGGGGCTGATTGCGGAGCTGGCTGGCGGCAGGGTGATGCTTCGATGAGAATAGGCGCTGGCGAGAAGAGGGAAAAGACGCGGGGGTGCAAATGTGACGGTCGAATGTAAAGATCGAATGTGAAAATCGAATGTGAAAATCGAATGTGAAAATCGAATGTGAAAATCGAATGTGAAGATCGAATGTGAGGGTCGAATATGAAGCTTGAGAGGAAGAAGGTTGACAGATGATGAAGATTAAGAGACGAAGGACTGTCTATAAACGTCCAGCTTTGATGGACTCCTGGGAGCTGCATAATTTTTCGATCTACCAGCATTGACAGTGTCACACGGGTTACAACAAGGCAGCATGCACTTGAGCCTAATATACATCATCTCATAAATCCCAAGGTCCGTTGATTGCTCCAGTTCTAGAATTCTAAAAAAATGACACGTATACCGCCACACACCCCTCACAAAAACTTCCCCCTCTCAAACCTTGACCCAAAATCCCCCGCCTTCCTCAACATCTCCTGCTTCTGCACATGCCCAATCCTCCCTCCCAGGCCCATATCCTTCTCCTTATCAAAACCCCTCTTACTCGGATCATCCTCCTCCTCCTTCCCCCCCTGTCTCCCCGTATGCTCCTCTACCATACTCTTCCCCCTCATCCGCTCATTATACCCCCGAATCCTCTTCGCTATCGCCGCTTGCTCTGCTTCATCCTCCCCTTGTCCCCCTCCGGCACCTCTCGTCCCGTTCTTGCCGGAATTCGTAGCAACTTCCTTCCGTCCTAACACCTCGTCCTCTAAACGCTGCCGTTTTTCCTCAGGCGTCTCAGTCCATATAGCACTAACCCCGCTCTTCTCCCCCAGCGCCTTCGCCCCCTTTCCAGACGCAAACTTTCGCGTCTTCAGCTTCGTGGGGTCGACGCGCGATGTCCAATCATCGGCGCCCGGGGGGACGAGCATCCAATCTGCGCGCTTAGGCGCGCTGGACGCTGCGGAGGCGGTGGCTGTAGCTGCGCGGGCAGTTTCGTGGGCACGGATGGCAGATTCGGCGGCGGCTGCTGCCGCGGAGCCGGGGGCGGGGGGGAGGGAGGGGCCGTAGTCGTCGTCTGAGGAGGAGTCGGGATCTTCTGTAGGGCGCTCGGAGAGTAATGCTGGAGGGGGGGCGGGGCCAAGAATGCGGCGGGGTGCGGGAAGTGCGGTGGTGGTGGTTGAGGGGGGGGGAAAGGGTCCGACGTCGTCATCGGAACTGTCGTCAAGTGGGATTTCGTCGGTATTCTGTGGTGGTGGCATTGCTGGGCCCATTACACGGCGCGGTTTGGGTTCTGGTGCCGGCATTGCGCCGGGCGGGAGGGAAGAACCAGGCTCATCGTCGGAGCTGGAGTCGAGGCCGATTTCTTCTTCGTTGTGGGTGGGTGGCATGGAGGGGCCGAGGACGCGACGAGGCTGAGTGTCTACATTGCGGCTTGTTGCGCGGATTTTGGTGGGGGGAGAGGGAGGATTGAGGGTTGTGGTGTCGTCTGTTGAGCGCTTGCGCTTCGCGAGGTGAGGCGGTAGTTGGGGCCCTATTCCTGACATGGTGATGAGTTGTTGTTGAGAAGTTGCCGAGTAGGAGAGGTGGAAAGGCTGAGGTTGGAGAAATTGATAGCCTAGCCCATGGCGTCGTCTTACCTCCCCAGGTTCGCGGCAATTTCCGTGGCGGCAGACCTCCCTGGTCACAACAGGCTACCAGTTTGGCTTGGTGAGAACGAGAATAGCTACCTCTTCATCGCCTTGAGGGATATTTCTTCGACGTGAATTAACCTCGAATCTTGGCCTATTTCCTGTGCCTGAGTAAGGAAACTATACCAGCGGGCCGCGCACGTATCGCAAGCTCTTACGAAGCTTATCTACAGACCCAATTCGTACCCTAGATGTCAACGAGCTACCCATTGACGATTCTCACGCACGCGACAGCCATTCCGATTGGCATTTTAAGATACTGCGTGAACCTGCGCCTTTGACTGCGCCGCTGAAATACGACATCGGTGCCATGCGCCAGTCTAGGACACTCCGATGAGCTCCTCTTCGTCGGAGACAGATGGGTCGGTAGCGGGGGCGGGAGATAATGGAAGGCCGGAGGATAGAGGCGATGAGGAATGGGAGCAACAACATAGTGATGGAGGAGAGGGAAGGATATCAGATATGCTGGAGGAAGAAATTGCTGCAAGCGCAGCTCCAGCTCGCACCGGGAATGGGGCACATGGCGACGGATACGAGCATATGGATGAGGCTGGGAGCGACTTTGGAGATGTCTCCCCGGCTTACACTCCTATAAGGAATGGCAGCCCGGCTGATTCAATGATGTCGATCCCAGACGATACACCTTCTGTCCAGGGCTCCGTTATGTCCTCTTCAGAAAGCAGCGTCTTGCCATCTATGGCCTCTCGACAAATGCTAGGCAGCCCCACGCCATCCTTCAGACCATTCGATCGCCGATTCTCGTCTCGTCTTGCTCCGCCATCTGGTGTCTATTCACCGAGAGCGTTGTCCCCGGCATTTTACCCATCGCATTCGCGGCAGGTCTCGCTCAATAGCCAGGTGCCTTTGGATGGCGAGGAAGTCGATACTCCCTCGCCGCCTTGGGAGGTCGTGCGTTGGACGAAGCTTAAGAAGATGAATGGGAAAACTTTCTCGGAGGTTGGGAAGAGGAATTTTGGTACACCCACTTGTATAGCTGTATCTGCATCTATTGTTGTGGGGACTTCGAAGGGAATAATTCTGGTCTTCGACTATCACCAAAACTTGAAATCGATCATCGGACAAGGCACGAAAGCTGTGGAGTCTGGCGCTATTAGCTCTATAGCCATATCTGCCGACCATTCCACCGTTGCTGGGGGGCATGTCAATGGAGATATATTCACGTGGGAAATAGCCAAAGCTTCTCGTCCGTTTCTGCATATCCCAGCAGTAGAAGTGTCGACATTACACGCCCGAAGTCTCGACGGTCACGTTCCGAACGTCGCAATCACCCACCTGGGGTTTCTAGGCACGAGACATACGGCTATCGTCTCAGCTGACGATCGTGGGATGGCATTTTCGCATCTTGCAACTCGAGGGACTGGTTCTGTAGGCCGCCGCGTAAAAACCACTCGGATACTTGGCAGATATCCCAACGACTCTGCCATGACGGGGAAGTCGCGGAAACCCAGCACTGTTCTGGCGTTTGCGTCTCTACCACTAGGTAATGTGGAGCGCGTGACAGATACGCTGGGGCTGACAGCTATGTTAACGCCGTATTTACTGGTTATTGTTTCGACAACACCAGTTGCGGAAACTCAGCATAAAGCTGCTCGGCCGAAAGAAATCGCGGCTCACGGGGCCATGAGTGGTTGCTTAGCATGGTTCCCAGCTGTGAAGCTGAAAGTGAAAGACCCAGAAACTGGCGACACAGTGTCGAAGGTTAAACTGGTGTACTGCTGGTCTAATGTCCTCACCATCATGGATGTTGAAGAATTCGAAGCGAAGGGCGATAAACAGCCCAGCTTAAATTTCAGAGCTCGAAGTCGCTGGAAGTCTGATGAAGCAATTGTTGCCGTCCAATGGCTTAGCCGGTCGGTTTTGGCTGTTCTGACGATAACCCAACGACTCATTATCCTGGAAGACCACACAATGAGGATGACCGAAGCATTTGATCTCCTTTACAAACATATTTATCATAAGGATCTATTTTCGGACCAGCTGCACAGTCTAGTTGAACAATTAGACGAGGATGATTCATCAATGCACGGTGTGGTGGCAGATGCGTTCTATATGAGCCTCAGAGCTTATAAGGGCCGGATGTTCCTTCTCGGCTTTAATGACATCTCGATAGGAGCAGTATCAAACTGGGCCGATCGGCTGATCGCCCTGATGGAAAATGGCGACTACATTGGCGCGATCAACCTGGCAACCTCTTATTTCACAGGTGATGCGGATAAGCTTACCATTGGCTTACCCGAGGACAGTGGATTGAGACATTCCATTGTACGGGATAAGCTCCTGGAGATTATGACCGCTTCTCTGAAATTCGCTTTTGGGAGTAGTAAGACGTCGACCAGAAGAAGCGAAAGAGAGACGGAATTAAAAGAACTCGCACATGCTTGCTTTGCGGCTTCACTAGCCATTGACGATACAGACTATCTTTTCGATGATGTATATGAATGGTACGAACATGGCGACTTCCTTGGAGTATTTCTGGAGACTCTCGAGCCCTACATATTGGAAGAGGAGATAACTTCGGTTCCGCCGATTGTCGTAAAGTCTCTGGTCTCGCATTTCGTCTCAGAGGGACTGGAAAGCCGATTGGAAGAGATACTGTGCCGCATGGAGACTGCGACGTTCGATATAGATCAAATTACGGCACTGTGCAAACAGAACAACCTCTACGATGCCTTGATATATATCTGGACCCAGGCTCTCGATGACTATATCGCACCGTTAGTCTACCTATTAAAATTGCTAGTACCGCTAGTCCAGGATGGTGGCCATCTGGCGAACGGCGAGCTGATGGACGATCCCAATGCGTTGAAAATGTTCCCATACATGTCATATACCCTCACCGGGCGTGTGTATCCTACGGGCCAGCCACTCACAGACGAACAGGCCCAAAAAGCAAAATCGGAGATCTACTGGTTTCTGTTCTCAGGGAACACAATCACCTGGCCAGTTGGGAGCTCCAAGCCTTTCCTCACGATGCCACATGCGGATGACGAGCCGTCGTTCCCCTATCTTCGCATGATCTTGAAATATGACGCGCCCAGCCTATTGAGTTCGCTGAACGAGGCATTTGAGGACCCATTTCTTAATGACACGCATGATGAGGCTGATCCAGCAGAAGCCGATCCCGATATGCGCGAGGAGCAACTCTTTGGGCAATCCGTTAATCGCCAATACATTATCAGCATATTGCTTGAGGTGATGAATCGAACGGACTTTGCTCCGGAGGATACCATATACCTGGATATGTTCATTGCGAGGAATCTTCCGAAATTCCCCCAGTACCTACTACTCTCAGGGTCGTCACTCCACAAACTCCTCACTGGGCTTTGCAACTATCCCGGCGATGATATAGCTGATGATGCTCAGCTGAGTGCCGAGTATCTGCTATCTATTTATCACCCAACAGATATCCAGTCTCTAATACCCCTGTTTCGAAAAGCCAAATTCTTCAGGGCGCTGAAGAATGTATACAAATCCGCCAAGCAATATGGGCAACTTCTGCAAACATATTTCGAAGATCCGGAGGATCAAGAATCGGTGTTTGATGTTATTGGCGACTGTCTGAGGGCTCACGGTGGCCCCAGCCCGAAGCAAATCGATGATATACACAGTGTTATTCGAAGCCATGCGAGAGACCTCGTGGCTATCGATGCCGTGAAGTCAGCACAAACAGTGGCGGAATATTGCCCAGAACTTCATCAGGACATCTTGGAGGCGCTGTCAGAAGATCTGGAACACGAATACCGGTATCTCCAAGCCATTCTCGAGCCCGAAAAGGTTGGAAGCCCTGAGGCTAAGCCATTGCACGATAAATTATTCATCGAAAGATATGTCCTGCTCATGTGTAGCTTTGATGCGCTACATGTGGCGGGGTATGTGGAAGCTATCCAAACATCGGATCTTCGCCTGGATAAAGTCCTCCCAGCCATGGAAGATGGCGGCGTTGTTGATGCTGCGGTAATATTAATGGCTCGCGAGGGCCTCATTGGGGACGCAATGGAGAGACTGACTGAGCATCTTGGCAAACTCGAAGGTGCACTTACAGGCCTACTGCAATCGAACGACCAAGATATGCACCCGGACAATCTCGAAGAGGCAGCAGAAGTTCTTCTTGAATCGCTCCAGAAATACACAGGTGTGGGGATTTGGCTTTGTAAAAAGAACAGCAAATCTTCATCTGGTAAGGAAGTAAACGGGACGCAACGGAGAAAGTCAGCCGTTAATACTGAGCTTAACTCTCAAGAATCGCTCTGGCTCGAATTAATCGACGCAGTAGTGCAAATCACCAAGAACATATCTTCCTCTCTGTTAAATCTGGACGGGTTTCAAGCGACAAATCTCGATGGCGGGAAACTTCTCTTCAGCTTGCGCTCCCTGGTGCAAAGCACATTTACAGCTCTTCTCACGGCTACGTCTGGCCCCTCTGGAGGCAACATATCGTTCCTCCGTATCCTCCGCGCCTTCCTCACAAGAGCATCCGTCTCATCCCCCACCATTACGGATCTCCGAGCTGTATTGACCTCTATATTCTCTGCATACGCATACGAAGAGAGCATCCTTGGTCTTGCCAATAGGCTACTCGACAAAGATCTTTTCGTCAACGTTGATTCTGCATCCCACTTGCGCAAACGGGGGTGGAGGCCTCGCGGATCAGTGTGCGAAGGATGCCATCGCCGAACCTGGGGCCCCGGCGTAGCTGGCGATGTATTGGGGCGGTGGGAAGGGAAGCAGGCTGCGGAGACCATCAAGCGGGAGAAGCGGTGGTTACTGAAGTCTGGAGGAGGGGTTCGCGGGAAGGAGAGGGCGAAATCACAGGTTGAGGCGATGAGTAATATGGATGGTAAAAAACCCAAGGGTTTTGACGGACATGAGGATGATGAAGATCGTGGGGATGATTTTAATGGCCCGGTTGCAAGCAAGGCGTCGGATTTGGGTCCGCTTATTGTGTTTGCGTGCAGGCACTTGTACCATCGGCAGTGTCTCGAAGCTGCACTTGCAAAGAAGGCGGAAGGGACTTGGAGAGAGCCTGTACATGATGGGAGGGAGTTTAGATGTCCAATAGATGGATAGCTGTATATAGCTCACATAGTTATTTCCTGATACGGACTTGGAACGTCACGTTCGCATCTTCACTGCTACAAAGAACGGCTGATATTGGCTTGTGATGACTGCTGTATAATGGTATATAACGGCTTAATTTGAATGTTACGGTACCATATCAATCGAGGTCCATGACAACAGCCTCGCCCTCTTCTACGGCCATAGGCTCTACAGTTGGGCCAATAACAACGTTATTGTTAGTGAGAGGACGGGCGGAAACTAGAGGCTTAGAAGCCGACTGATCCGCTAGTATTCCTGGTGTTTCTTCATGGTCTTCTGGTCGGCCTACCGCCAGCTCCTCCTGTGCCCTGCGCCTGGACTCAAGGATAGCTTTCCTCACACTGTCTTTCTCGTCTGTTAAAGTCAGTGAGTGTGGGATGTCGTATAATACCATGGCCTGGCTTTGGTTCATTCCCGCTAGCTCGCCATCCTTATTCGCGAGGATAGATGAGGGTATGCGCCTGTTTAAGAGGCGCTTCTCGATATCTGGTAAAAAGACCAGTTTATTTTCGTCGTCCGATGACTCAATCTCCTCGAGTTCTTTGTCCAGGTCGTAGATGTAAACTTTATGTTTCGTATCGTCTAATCGCATCGTATCATCGTCGACTTGTTGTCTTTCTGGTGTCTTCAGGGCTGGGAGCGTGTTGGGACGTTGCTCGACGGAGGCATGGAGGTGATCGGCATTGTGGTCTACATCAGATGAAATTAGCCCAAGTCCAAACGAAATGAATACGGAGTGAATAAGAACCTAAATTGAGAGTGCTAAGTTTCTTCGACAGTCTGTCGTCGTTGAAATTCAGTGTCTCAGCCTTTCTCTTCTTGACCCTGCCGTCCATCGCGCGACGGTGCTCCATCACATTATTTCGTAGCCCGAGCTCCAGCCAACTTTTTCTTTTATCAACCGCTCGTCAATAAGATTGTATCCTCTACAGCGAACGAGCTTTGTGTCCTCGTCGCGACGTCGAGCTTGATTGATACTTTGTCTGTAGCTGCTGTTCGATTGGGCGGCTTGTCTCGTAGACGATAGCGCTGGATGGTTGTCGGCGGCTTGTGGAGGTCGACGTCTTTCTTGACTCGCTCGCCTATCTTCTGCACCGTCGAATCCACACGTATCCTCCCTCGTTATACCCAGAGACTCACTGCGCCAAGATCTTCTAGACGATCACACATACAGTTAATTGCCGGAGGAAGACGGTTTTCGGGCAATATGGCCAGCGAGACGGCCCAAGAGTGGCCCGCGCCACTGGTGAGGAAGACGTTCCTGGAGTATTTCGCCGACAGACAGCACGAGATTGGTATGTAAAGAGGCCGCCTTCTTCTCTGCGCCGCGATTCTAGTGATTATATGGAGGATTACAAAGCCGAAGATCGCCGTATCGAGGTCGGACAGTCAGATTTCTGGTTCCTTTGTCGTCATTCGAGCTGCCCTAAGCTATGGCTTGAGCCGCGCTGCGGGGAAACATACCCCACCATGCACATAAGAAATGAGGCTTTGGGGGTTCACGTCCACGGATTTTTATATATCTGGGCGCAAATTGTTTAAAATTACTATTTCTATATACCATCAATGTTTTATTTATGCTTCGGGACGTTGTTTATTCGAGATAATCTGCTAATACCTGCCGTGCAGTTTCTTCCGCCTCGGTGGTGCCACACAATGACGCTACCCTCCTGTTCGCGAATGCTGGTATGAACCAGTTCAAGCCTATCTTCCTGGGGACAGTTGGAGCCACCGAAGCATTTGCCAGCATGAAGCGTGCTGTTGATACCCAGAAGGTGAGCTACATTCCTCCCAGCGACTGGAATACAAGCTGATTATCTTTTTAGTGTATTAGAGCAGGTGGAAAGCACAATGTAAGGCCCACTGGCTACTTGTGAAAGGCAAATTACTTATAGAATTCACTACAGGATCTTGACGATGTTGGAAAAGACTCCTATCATCACGTAAGTGAGACACAGATTGCTCTCTGCCAGCCGTACTAACATACGAGTAGACATTTTTCGAGATGTTGGGTAATTGGTCTTTTGGGGACTACTTCAAAAAGGAGACCATCGAGTTCTCTTGGGAACTATTGACCAAGGTCTTTAAGTTAGATCCGGACCGTCTCTATGTGACTTATTTCGAGGGCGACAAAGACCTAGGCCTCGAGGCTGATTTGGAGGCCAAGGAGCTGTGGATGGCAGTTGGTGTTTCTGAAGACCACATTTTGCCAGGAGACATTAAAGATAACTTCTGGGAGATGGGAGAGACGGGACCATGTGGTCCCTGCAGTGAAATCCACTTTGATAGAATTGGGGGCCGAAACGCCGCCAGTCTAGTCAACCAGGATGACCCAAATGTGCTTGAGATTTGGAACAACGTCTTCATGCAATTTGACAGACAAAAGGACAGGTCCTTAAAGGTTCTTCCCGCCAGACATATTGATACCGGCATGGGCTTTGAGCGCCTCGTGTCTATTCTCCAAGACAAGACTTCCAACTACGCTACTGACGTTTTCACCCCGTTATTCGCCAAAATCCAGGAGGTTACCCAAGCTCGACCATACACTGATAAGTATGGCAAAGATGATGCCGACGGAATCGACACCGCATACCGCGTGATTGCGGATCATGTGCGCCTCCTCACATTCGCTATTTCTGATGGAGCAGTTCCAAACAACGAAGGCCGTGGTTACGTTGTCCGCCGCGTCCTACGCAGAGGGTCGCGCTATGCCAGGAAATACTTCAATGCCGATATTGGAAACTTCTTCTCCCGTATTTTGCCAGCTCTGGTGGAGCAGATGGGCGAACAATTCCCCGAAATTGTCAGGATGCAGTCTGAGGTCGCTGAAATCTTAGACGAGGAAGAAGCTCAATTTGCCAGGACCTTGGACAATGGTGAAAAGATGTTTGAAAGATTTGCTACAAGAGCTATCAAGTCTGGCACCAACCGCCTCACTGGAGATGAGGTCTGGCGTCTGTATGACACTTACGGTTTCCCCGAAGATTTAACCAAGATTATGGCGGATGAGCGTAACATCGGCTACAATGATGAAGAGATCGAAATTGCAAGGCTGAAGGCTCGCGAAGCTAGCAAGTCTACAAAGGAGGGTGTCATTGCATTCGCCAAGCTGGATGTCCATCAGATCGCTGAGCTAAACAAGTCTGAGATACCACCAACAATCGACGACGCAAAGTACACTGGCAACGTTACTACTGGTAAAGTTAAATTCATCTATGATGGCAAAGACTTCCTGAAATCCACCAAGGAGTTGGTGGCTGGTCAAAACTTTGGGTTGATGTTGGATCGTACCAATTTCTATGCCGAGTCAGGTGGCCAAGTTGCCGACGTTGGTAGAATTGGTATTGACGGTGGGGCTGAGTTCAAGGTTGTTGATGTCCAGGCATACGGTGGCTACATTCTTCACAACGGGTTCCTAGAGCAGGGACAGCTTTCGGCTGATGACGAGGTCACACTTGAATATGACGAAATCCGAAGGCAACCCATCCGCAACAACCATACCGGAACCCATATCCTGAACCACTCCCTGAGAGAAGTTCTCGGCGATGAGGTGCACCAGAAGGGCTCTTTGGTCGATGCGGAAAAGCTCCGTTTCGATTTCTCTAACAAGGTTCAGCTTACTTTGCCAGAGCTCCAAAAGATTGAGGATTTCTCAAACTCGTACATCAGGCAAAACTGCAAAATTTACTCCAAGGACGTCCAGCTTGAGGAGGCGCAGGGTATTGTCGGTCTCCGCGCTGTGTTTGGCGAGACCTACCCCAACCCCGTCCGCGTAGTCTCTGTTGGTGTTGATGTCGACACCTTGCTTGCTGACCCAAAGAATGAGGAGTGGCGCAAAGTCAGCGTCGAATTCTGCGGTGGCACACACGTGGACCAGACCGGAGAGATCAAGGACCTCATCATCGTTGAGGAGAGCGGTATCGCGAAGGGTATCCGCCGTATTATTGCGTATACTGGCCAGGCCGCCCGCCAAGTCCAGCTCGCTGCAAAGGACTTTTCACAGAGGCTCGACGCCCTCGAGGCACTGCCATACGGACCTGAGAAGGAGCGCGAAATCAAGGCCATCTCGTCCGACCTCAATGGTCTCAGGATATCCACTCTCACCAAGGAACAACTCCGTGACCGCTTCAGCAAGGAGTCGAAGAAGGTTGTCGATGAGCAAAAGAAGCGTCAGAAGGCCGAGTCGAGCACTGCTACCGATGCAGTAAAGGCATACTTCAACGACCCGGAGAACAAGGATAAGTCTTTCTACGTTGCGAGGTTACCGATTTCCGCCAACAGCAAGGCTATCAGCGATGTGATCAACTACTGCAAGAAAGAGGCGAAGGATAAGACGGTGTATGTCTTTGCTGGAGGCGAGGAGCATGGAGCCGTTATTCACGGTGTCTATGTTGGAACTGTAAGCAAAATTGTCTTCGATCTTTTATATATTCATGCTAACCGCTTTGCTACACAGGCCCATGCGACGGATGTTCTCGCTGAAGATTGGTCAGGGGCCGTAGTTGATATTCTCGGCGGCAAGTCCGGCGGCAAGCAGCCAACCCGCCAAGGACAGGGTGAGAAGCCTGAGAAGATTGATGAGGCTGTCAATACTGCTACTAAGTGGCTTGAAAGCAAGTTGAAGATCTAAGCGTCGTTCATACTCATAGAGTTGTGGGGTGAATTCAACGGACCAATCAGGGTGTAAATTATCACAATGAAGATAAAAATATACTATCTGTTGTAATCTCAGGTGATACTGTGGTGCAATTTCGTGCTGGCTTTGTGATACCATCAAATAGACTTTTCCCAAATAACGCTCCTCCAATTACTCCCCCTGCCTGTAGTTGAACCAGCCGCCAGTCACGACTATGGGCACTATTAAGAGTTCGGTGCCGTCCGTTCTGTCCTAATATTTGCCTTTTCCAACGTCATCGATTTCTTCTTTTGATAAGCCTCCCCTACTTAGAACCTTTCGAAGAATCGCGTCTTTCCCATCCACATAGTCCGAAAGTGTTGCATGATCATTTTTCGCCAGCTCCATTTTCACCCTCGAATGCTCCTCTCTGAGCTCGCGATCATTTCTCAGCGCTTCTCTCACAACAAGATGATTCTTTAATGATAGAGAGCCTGGCCCACAAATGTACACATTTCGACGAACCTCTCCGGTCATTTGCTCTTCAGTGCCTTTGGCGTGGCGTTGGTGATTATTGTATCGGAACGAATATCGGTCAAGGGACGCAGTCTCCACGTGATAAATGTAACCGTTGAGCTCGAGTGCAGCTATAGCTGCCGTGATATCTTCTTCTGCGACAACGATGTCTATGTCTATGACGGGTTTTGCAGCCATTCCTTGCACGGATGTACTCCCGACATGCTCGATACTGAGGACCTTGACTGTTGCCAGGGCGGCGGAGAGGGCAGCTTGAATTGCTGAAAACGCCGTTACCCCAGGACTCATCGTATGGCAAAATGGCCACACGCATCTCAAATACTAAAGGCTACAGATTTCAGTGTGGGATTGGTAGTACTGGTATGGCAGCAGTCGACTTATTTCACAAGGGAGAAGTGCCGTCGATGGTGAAGAAATCTGTTTGGAATTTTCCGTAGGATGACTCGCGTGCCTCTCCTTACAGCATCACATATGTCTTTAAATTACGAAGCTTAAGCAATAAAAAGGCGGCGGTGTTTGCCATGGGTATAATCATACTATTCGAACTAACCCCCTATATATACATACATAATACATCTTACACAGTAGTCATGACACTGGCATTCTTATACCAGGTCAATAGCGGGTTCTCGCCGCTCTTCGTTTCCGTCCCTTCCACATCTGCCCATCTCTGCAGGAACTCCTCGTGCGAGAGGACGCGGGTGAGCTTGCCGGTCAGTGCTTGGTACACGTTTTCCGTGACTGCGAAGTCTGTGGGGAAGAGGATGTCGAAATAGCCTTGGTGAACCTATTTCATGTCAGAGATCTATCAAAATTCCACGCATTGGATAGGTAACTTACGAGAGGTGTTGTGACAGGCACCGTTGTCCTTTGATATCTTGTTTGCACGACCGGTGCATTAACCCCCTTGATTGTGTCCGGTAGGGAGTGAAAATCGCTTGTTACCAGCTTGTGCTGGGGGAAATACTTTGCTAGGATATCGAACATCTGCATCAACCTTGTCGGGATGTACTCTGGATCCGAGAGGTTGGGCATGAATGGGAGCTTCGTCTTCAGCCCACGAATGAAACGGCTCGATGATAAAGGATGCGGATAGCGCCCCCCAGTAGCAGCATGTCTTACGCGAAGGAAGCGCGCGGCGACAGGGTCTATTGTCGGAGAGTAAAACTCGTGGAAGTCTCCTTGACCGTCGATGAGCACAGTCCCCTGCATAGGGTCCTCCGTCACTGGGTCGTAGCGAATAGCGTCGTGTGCAAAATTATCGAATACTTCCATAGCGACGAAATAGCATGGCGAAGGGACCATCTGGTTCCATTCAAAGATCGACTTGTTGATAATCTCCACCTTGGAGTGGTGCCCTCTCGAATCCGCAGTTTTGACCAGCTGCTTTGCCTGCAGCGACGCAAGGTTTGATGAAATCTCAATAATCTTGTATTTCGTGCGGTTGTATACGTCTGGCTCAGTTTCGCGGATATGGTCGAGGATATTGAGCATGAGTGTTCCGTTACCAGCGCCCATCTCGTAGATGATTAGGTCGTGGTAGGGGAACTGCGAGATCTTGTAGTTTGCAACCAAGTACCGCGCAATGGCTTCTCCGTAGTATGGGGCAAACAGTTCGGTCGGTGTATGCCATAGCTGCCGCGTCTCATTGTACTGGACACGGTCTAGCTTGTCCTCAAAATCGGTGTATTTTTGGCCCAGCAAGCGATGGAACTCGGGCTCGTCTTGGATATTGAGGAAATCGAAGGGCTCATCGGGGGTGAAGATGACAACCTGTTTCGAGAAGTAGCCGTAGGATAGATTGTATAGACTGTCTGTATTCATGTTCAGATATAGTTTTGGCGCGGATGTGAACCTACGAACCTTCTATGAAGTCTCGCGTGAGCATCTTCACCCGCGTCGGCCGCTCCCTCCTGGTCTTCAATTGCTCTGATGTAACCGTAGGATACTTGCTGAACTCGTGTGACATGTTCTGAGGCAACAGATCAGTCCTCTGCTGCCAGTTGCTCTCGCTATTTGAGCCCTCGCTGCTTGACGCTGCTCTCCTTCCCGGTGTCCATGTTTTCCCCTGGCCGCCGCGGGCGTGGTGCCCCAGCCTCAATGGTAGAGTCGAATGCCGGCGCACAGCTTCGCAGGCTCTGTGCCTGAACAGCTGCCGAAACAGCTGCGTTACAACTGGGGAGTCCATGGGGGCATGAACTTTCCGAATTCTGTATGAATCTCAACGGTTTGCGCAGGACGCATTTCGGGGTCGTGCATCCTTGGTCCGAGCTTCTACCCGCTTTCGTCAACCATAACCTTTATATCCACCTCAGGCGCCTTCTCACTTGGGCCTGTCGTCATTGTTTCGCGCCCAAACATAGGACGTAAATAATCAATCCTTTTCTTCTATAATATTTATGATGTTATGACTATATTGAATCTGCAATGTCAGTTTCTAACCACCCAAAGGCCTACACATCGGCCGCGCTCGTTGTAGCCTTCACTGCCGGCATCTGTCTCACATTGGGCTTCAAAGACTTATATCCCGACCTTCAAAGACGTTTCGAGCAACGAAAGCGCACGAAGGATGCCGCTCTCTATGGACATCGTGAATCCTCCTTCCTCCCGCCTGTCGAGCTCGAAGACCATACAAAACCTCAACCCCCAGGGCCAGACAGCCCCACACCACCCACAATCCAAGTTGGCATCGAAGGCCTAATCGGTCACACCAAGCTCGTCAGGATCAAGTCTCTATCCGAAGCAACAGGTTGCGAAATTGTCGCCAAGGCAGAGCTGCTCAATGGCGCCGGAAACAGCCCGAAAGATAGGGTGGCCCTTCATATGATCGAGGTCGCCGAGAAGGAGGGGCTATTGACGCCATGCAACGGGGATACGATATACGAAGGCACAGTGGGTTCCACTGGAATATCTCTCGCGGTTCTGGCAAGAGCGAAAGGCTATAAATGCCACATCTGCATGCCCTCGGACATGTCAATGGAGAAAGTCGAGCTGTTGCACCACCTCGGCGCAACAGTCGAGCGCGTCTCCCCCGCACCTATCACCAGCCAAGACCACTTCGTGAACCTAGCCCGGCGCCGGGCTGAAGGGCACGCAAGCAAATGGAAGGATGGGAGCAAGGGTTTCTTTGCCAACCAATTCGAGAGCAAGGCGAATTGGACGGCCCATTTCGAGACTACCGGCCCAGAAGTGTTTGAGCAGACACAGGGGGATATTGCGGCGTTTGTCTCTGGTGCAGGAACGGGAGGGACAATCAGCGGCGTTGCATGCTATTTGAAGCAGGAGGTTGGATTGAAAGATGTCTCGATCGTGCTCGCTGATCCGCAGGGAAGTGGGTTGTATAACAAAGTCAAGTTCGGCGTGATGTACTCCAGCCATGAGCGAGAGGGGACTAGAAGGCGCCAGCAGGTCGATACGATGGTTGAGGGTATCGGAATTAATCGGCTCACGAACAATTTTGAGAAGGGGATGGAGTTGATCGATGACGTAATTAAAGTGACGGATACGCAAGCCATGAGAATGGCTAGGTGGCTGGTGGAGAAGGATGGAATCTTTATTGGGAGCAGCAGTGCTGTTAACTGCGTGGCAGCAGTGTTTACTGCGCTGAGATTAAAGAAAGAGGGCAAGGGGGGGAGGGTGGTGACAGTACTCTGTGACAGCGGGAATAGACACCTCAGCAAATTCTGGAAAGAGATTGCGAGTCAAGGTTTGGAAGAGGAGCATGGAAACCTGGGACTTCTTGAACTTCTTGAACTCGAATCATGAAGGAATCACAGCGTTCAGGGCCGTGAAAATTGGTAAGTATATAATTCTGGATGTGGCTCTACTGTGTAGGACACCTCTATGGTATGCATCCGTATTGCAAACCTTCGCCATTCAGCCACATCCATGACCTGGCATGTCACAGACTCCGGGGGGGGTTGAAAACCTGAACTCCTTGCGCCAGAATGCCCTTTGTGTTTATATCAAAATACAGCTGGGTGGCTAAATAAGCCAAGATATCTTGCCTACCGCGGACATGCGGAGCAACATGATTACTGTCCACGCGGCGGGTCAAAGGAGACGCGGTGTCAAAGAGGGACTACAGCGCACTTTAAGGACATAGGTAGAACGAGCTCATGAGAACTAGAACGTAGGGTCAGCTTCAAATAGTTCATAATTAACTGCGTGCACAAGTGCAAAACAGTTAAACATACCTTCCAGCGATTTCCGCATACTGTGCACTCGCAAAACGTCGTCATTGGTTCATCAGCAGACCTGGTTTGCGCCTGACTGTAGCTGACTTTCTTCTGTCCGCATCTTCCGCACTTAAGCGCATCACTGATGCTCCTCTCCGCCATCGGTACTTGTGCTCTCTTCATGTTGTCTTTTTGGAGTTCGTCGTCTTCCTTCTTGCGCTCAGCAGACTTCAGTTCGTCATGGGTCATGATCACAAATTTGTCAGCTGGGATTTCGCCGCTCAAGACTCTTGGGCCTAATTCCTTGTTTTGCTTGTTCTTGAGGTTCTGGAAGAGTGAGCGCATCTTGGCACGATACTCTGGAGTGTCACCTTTGTATTTGGTGAATGCCGCTTTCTCGACTTCCATGGCTTTAAGTATAACTTTGGTAGGGGATGTCTTGGACATAAATGCGAGGCCGTTGTATAACAGACCGACACAATTGTCTCGGGTCGGCATGCCGGTGCGCTTAATGTCCACCCCATCCTCCTGCCACTTGCGCTTCGCTGGGTCGGCACCCTTCCACTCGTCGGAGTCTGTGGCTGGTTGCGGTGGGGCTGGGGACGATGCATCGACGTTTTTACTTGGTGAGGCAGTCCCAGGCTTTGCTCCTCCCACCTTCCTCCTCTTTTCGGCTTCGACTATGGTCTTCCATTTCGAGACGATTTCGGAGGCGAGGCGTGCGACAGCTTTATCCGGGTTCGCGCGTTGCTTGGCCACAATCATACCAGCTTTGGTGCTCTATAAAATATCAGCTCTGATTTGAGACAGGACTGGCCCTGGAGCGGGGCTAACGTATCGGGATGCCTTGTAAGGCCGTCATGCGCGGAGTGGGGAAACTTACCCTGAGAATGTCTTCCGTTGGCACAACCTCAGCCTTGAGCTTTGTTAAGATGTTGATGACATTGTCGGCAGGCTGCTTCTCGTTGATCGCTGCCTTCAGCAGATCTAGCTGCTCGTCGATATCTTTTTTCTGCATCTTGACAAAATCGAACTCTGGACGATCTAGCACAGTAGGTTCACCCGGTCTTTCCTTGCGGCTCAGTGCCAACGCCAATGGAAAGCTGGAAAAAGCAGTATGTACTCAGGTCACGCTAGTAACTGAGACCCCAGGGGCACAATATGGAAGCTGTGAGAAGTGGAGTTGCTTGCGGCGACGACGACGACGACGTTGTGACGAGGCTGATGAAATAAATATAGTTTGCTACATGCGGAATGGCCTCACTGACATTTGTCGCCAGCTGGACTAGCGCCGATTGCGCTTATCGCTTATTGGGTGTATACTCTCAGATCTAGCCCACGCCCATGATAAGATCAACTCGTCCAAGGGCAGAAATTCATTCCGAAGTCAGTTTACTCTCAAATCAATCTCTATTTATGAGTAGTAATCACTGGGTTACTGAGCATCTTTATTTTAACCATAGTTGACGTAAACGCTGGCTGTGTTCTTCTTCACTGTTCAAGTGTTCGGGCGGCACGAGTATCTCTTAGACCATCACCTATCCCTTAGACCATCAGCGCTATAATTCGTCAAGACCAAGCATTACTTCGAATAAAAGGCCTTCCAAATATCCAGAGGTTTTATTTCGTATTGTATACTCTTTGTTGGTTTTCCTGTTCCCCACTAATTATGAAAGATGCTGCTGCATGTGGCACACGATCAGATAAGAACATGCAAGGCTGACACTTTCTCAAGAAACACAAACACAGCCTTGTTCGCTCAATGTAGACTCCAACCACTCCGACCATTTCAACCTCACTCCTCCTGAGTAACCTTACAACAAACTATCCTTAAATAAGAGCGCTAACCCAATGGATATTCCTCCGAAGCTTCGCTCACGTACAATGCAAACTCAATTCTACAAAATTCGTGGCGAACAGGCCTCCCATACCAAGGGGGTTTCGAAGTTCTGGTATGAAACTTGACATGTCTGAGCACCGGGGTCATGGCAGCGTGGCATGCTTCAGGTCGCCGAGCCTCGCCATCACCAGCACCAAAGCCATGTCGCAGATGCCCAGCCTCTCACCACCTTGAGACCAATATCCCGGAAATTTGCAAATGTCGTACAATGCTACTGGTGGATCTCGTTCTCACGAAGCTCAAAAATATGCGCTGCCATGCGGACAGGCCTCGCCAGAGCGCGAAGTCTAACGTACTAGATCCCACTACTTACTCAATCGGCCTTCTCATTTGCCCTCATACCCTTCCATAAACAGGTGAGCGAACTGTTGACGCTGGCGGGGAAGTCTGCCCCACAGCCCAGGACCAAAGCCACCTGCACGGCTCCTGTGTGTTTCTTAATCTTACGTCTACCCGAGCACATCTCTTACTTGGCTGCTCTCCTTCTTTTCCTTCTTGTTTCTTCGATCTCTTCTTTCTCGCCATTAATCTTCAATTTTGCTTGCCGCAAAGTGCCGGACACGCATACTACGCTCTTTATCTAATCGCGGCTGGTCTCTCGACTTCACACTCACTCATTCTTTTATTTAAGCTGCAACTTAATTCGTCCTCAATATGCGCAATTCAGTGGTCCTCTCGATTCTCCTCGGCCTCTTGGCTGTTGCTCAAGCTGACACTCTCGACTCTCATGTCCGTCTAAATTTTGGGAAGATACAGAGTGTGCTCCCGAGGAACGAGGATGGGAACAAAAATGGGAAGGCCAGCAAACCTAAAATCGACGCTCAAGAGTTGGCGGCCACATCAGCCATAGATACCGGTGAACCATGCGAGCACCAAACCACTGTCATCGTCACGGAGACTGCAGCAGGCGCGGCGGCCGCAGTGGTGACAGGTCTCAATTCTGGCAGTAGTCAAAATAAAACTGTCAGGGATACCAAGAACAACAATAAGAATCAAGACCAGAATGACAATGACAGGACGGGGAACAAGAACAAGGGATCTCAGAATGGTCAAGAGAAGGATCAAGGAAATGTGGTGCAAATCTTGACAGTTGACATCAGCGGAAACAACGGGAACAACGACGCACATGCCCAGGGCAATGATAAAACGGTCACTGTCCATTCCCAGGGCAATGATAAAACAGTCACTGGCACTAAGACACAGGTGATCGGCAATGGCAAGGCCAACGGGAACAACAACGCACATGCCCAGGGCAATGATAAAACGGTCACTGTCCATGCCCAGGGCAATGATAAAACAGTCACTGGCACTAAGACACAGGTGATCGGTAATGGCAAGGCCAACGGGAACGAGAACCAAAGCCAGGCGTATGTATGCCTCGTTTAGATGCCTCTATCATAACTAACAGACTATTAGGGTACAACTCTCCTTCGTCACTGAGACTGTTTTTGGTGCCGGCAATGCGCCAACTGTCACAATCACCCCAATTGCGCAGATAGTCACACAGCACGTCACCATCACTGAAAAAGGAGGGGCAGCAGAGGCCGTCACCGTCACAATGCAAGCTCCGCCAGTCACAATTACCCAACAAGCAGCGGCCGCCGCTGTTGTTGCACCGAGTACAGTTACTGTCACCGAGCCGGGTGTTTGCACGACAACCGTAAGTTATCAGCTTCATTCACTATGATACATTCTAATCTCCTCATAGAATGGTCTCGCCGCAGCGTCTCCAGTCGCCATTGCTCAACCCTCCGCAGCAATAGTTGCCGCCGAAGCAGCTCCATCTCCCGTCTCGACCGGTGCTGGCAATGGCATGGGAATCCTCGATGCCAACGGCGTCTGCAGAAGCTGCCATTGTCTCTGTAACGCCCAGGATTTCCTAAGCGCAAGTGTACAAATCGCAGCGCCAGTCGTTGGTGCCAACGCAGCGGCGAGCGCAATGACGACGCTACAGACGGTAGTTACTGTCGCCGCGCAGGCTCCTTCAACGAACGCGGTAGCACAAGCTGACGCCGGAATTCCGTTCCAGCCGGGAGCCGATACTGCAGTGGCTGCAGCTCAATCGGATACTGCTCTATCCCAGGTAGCACAAGGAGCTGCATTGAGTAAGCCCGATGCTGCAACTACCACAGATGTTTCGAGCCAGTCAACAGTTATAGCAGTTGTGGACACAGCAACTCAAGACGCCGCAGCCACGACAGCGGCCCAACCTTCTATCTCAGAGAGCGCGGCGGATGTATTCGCAGAAAACGCGCAGTCACCAACGGCAACGACGGATGCGGGTGCGGAGTCAACTACCGCAACAGGCACTAACTCTGCCGTCACCCTTGCACCACCTGTTCCTGGTGCTCTAGCGGTCAATAATGGCGGCGGGCCACCAAGGCCCATCGATATCAACACGTATACGCTCGCAAGCGCGATAGCGCTGGGACACCTCAGGAGGAGATAGATTTTCTTGGTGGCGTGGCGTTTGAGTGTTTGAGTGTTTGAGTATTTTCCCACTTGAGGTTCTAGCTGTAGAGTAGATCGAATTGATACCACCTTGTTTCTTTCGAGATACTTCGTGGTCTATGTAGAACTCGGTTCTTGGAAGCTTTGTGACTCGTGATGTTGGTTATAACTGTGAGAGGTGCCATCTTGTTATATAATTCGCGCTGCCTCTATAAATTCCCTACTCATGAGGTAACGCTGTCCTTTGACGGTGTTGCTGGTCCGGGAGTCGCCTCTTTGCTCGCCTTCAAGGCTTCCATCTTCAACTTCTTCACCTTTCTCTTGCTCATCGTCGGCACAGCCTCCTCCGCTTGCTCATTCTTCCTCTTCCCATTAACTTGACCATTCGCTGCTTCCTTGCTGCTTGCCTTCTCACTCTCTGGCTTGCGCCCTCCATCCACAACATCAACCACACCTCTAAACCCCGTCCTCTTGATCGTCTCATTCACCACAACAGATCTCGGGTTTATCGTCTGCGCCTCCACTGCCCGTTCTCCGCTCAGCCCCCACACCGCCAACAAATTTCCCACATCAGCCGGCGCACGCACGCCCAGCACGCTTCGCGCCTCGCTGCTCACCACCAACCCCCGCCCTGACGTCGCGCGCACAATGCTCTGGATATTCATAATGACATTTCTCCTATCGACACTCCCTCCCTGCAGCGCCTGGCTATAGCATAGTTCGATCCTCACGCCGCGCTTCACCGCGGTCATCAACGGCTTCGGGCGGAAGTGGAACGGGAAGCGCTGTGTGAGGTCGAGGCTAATGAGTGAGGCATCGGTGAGAGTTAGGCAGGCGGCAAGGAAGGCTTTTTCGGTTGTGGGGCGCACGGCGAGGATGTCGTAGGCTTGAGCTAGGGAGGGGAGGCGGTGGTTGTGCGAAGGGTCGGAGAGGGTGATTGTGCAGCGAGTGAGAATTTCGAGGTTCGGTGGCGTGGTGAAGGGGAGTGGGGAGGGAATTGGTGAGACTATCTTTGAGGGGATCGCGCCTGTGATGCGGTGGTCCAGGGCTATGACGGAGTAATTGACTAGATGGGGGGGTCAGTGTGAGTCTTCAGCTGGAAGGGTGGTGAACATACCCTCAGAGAGAAATGAGAGGACCCGCTGGAGGGATTGGGTATCGTTGGTCCATGGGATGCAGAGGTCGTACAACATCTTGAAAACTGTGACGGATCCCACAGCTTATGAGCCTGCGTACTTTAACAAAACTTAATAAATGGACAGGAGAACTTTGGAAACAGAGGTAAATTAATTATAGCTGCTCGGCCTCTTGTTTTTCCTGGGCGGGTGATTAGGAGCTTTTAAAACACTACTGATAAGATTAGATTAGATCTAATATGTTGATCTATGAGGCGGTAACAATAAGCTTTCAATGAAGTAAACAGACACGAGATAAACAGCCTTGTTACCACAGCATATTAAATAATATATCAGGCATATACAGCTATAAGTATTGCACATTTTATACCAACTCCGGAACCATCTGCGGGCAAAATTCAAGGTGTTTCCAGATGACACTAAATGGCCCTCAAGTGGTCCAGGAAGAGTATTGTACTGCACGGTTGCAGATCAGGAATTCACAGCTCACTTGACAATAAAGAAATATTATAATTGTTCCGGAATGCACCAGCCAATAGAGCAAAATGTATACCATATTTATTATTTAATTTGTCGAGTTGATGCTTTGCAGTTCGAGATCCAAGGGTGAGAGCCTGAGGCCCAGATCGCGGAGCCTCCTCGCTAAAGCGTGAATCAACATCGAGGGGTTCTTCACTTCCCCAGTTATTGACTTCTTTATACCTCCCGATCTATCCCCACCTCTCTTCATCCCCCTCACTCATACTGGGGGTTCGTTCTTCTACGACGGACACTTCATTTATCGCCACATCTTCGTCTCAGCGACACAAATACTCCTTGGCGCAGAACCCGACCCCGCACACAACCCCACACGACCCTGTCGCAAGGCTGTCTGCGGTCGACGTCAGGCCTTCCTGCCTACTCCGAAGCTCATACCACTGCTCCTACCCGCTTCGCGCAGTGCGTCAGATAAGGGCTGCAAAATGGCGCGTGTATATGCAGATGTGAACCAGCACATGCCGAGGGCATACTGGGATTACGACAGCGTCAACATCACTTGGGGTGTGCTCGAGAACTACGAGGTCGTACGGAAGATTGGTACGTAAAAACATCTGTCGCTATAGTGACCTTTTTAATATAAGCTAACCCTCATCCCCAGGACGTGGAAAGTACTCTGAGGTTTTTGAGGGCATCAATGTCGCCAACTACCAAAAGTGTGTGATCAAGGTGCTCAAGCCGGTGAAGAAGAAGAAGATAAAGAGAGAGATCAAGATCCTGCAAAACCTGTCGGGCGGGCCAAACATTGTGGGACTGCTGGATGTTGTCAGGGACAGCCAAGTAAATCACTCCTTCCGTGTTGGCGTTTTCGATTCTTTCCTTTCAGGGGGCTCTGGTCGTAGTGCGTCCACTGGCCTTGTCATGTCAGACAATGAGAACGACAGCTCATTCTTAATGCAGAGCAAAACGCCCAGCTTGGTCTTCGAGTACGTTAACAACACCGATTTCCGCACCCTGTACCGCAAATTCGTCGACTACGATGTCCGATACTACATCTTCGAGCTGTTAAAGGTATGATAAATCACCGTGATGAGTGGGGAAGTGTATTCTAACAAAATGCACAATAGGCACTCGACTACTGCCACAGCAAGGGCATCATGCACAGGGATGTCAAGCCCCACAACGTCATGATTGACCATGAGAACCGCAAGGTGCGTTACCCCGCCAGATAACGATGCAGCGTATCATATCGGGTAGGATTCTAACATGTAGCAGCTCCGCCTCATTGATTGGGGTCTCGCAGAGTTCTACCACCAAGGCACCGAGTACAACGTCCGCGTCGCATCGCGTTACTTCAAAGGACCCGAGCTGTTGGTCGACTTTCAGGAATACGACTACTCGCTCGACATGTGGTCATTAGGCGCCATGTTCGCGTCCATGATCTTCATCAAAGAGCCCTTCTTCCACGGCAACAGCAACTCCGACCAGCTTGTCAAGATCGCCAAGGTTCTCGGCACGCAGGACCTGTTCGACTACATCGACAAGTACGAGATCGAGCTGGACGCGCAGTACGACGATATCCTCGGTCGCTTCCAGAAGAAGAACTGGAACAGCTTCGTCAATGCTGAGAACCAGAAGTATGTCAGCAATGAGGCGATTGACTTCTTGGATAAGTTACTCAGATACGATCATCAGGTGCGTCGCATCCTCACCCTATCACTTAACCCAAAATATAAATATTTCTAACACCGCAACAGGAGCGCCTGACTGCCAAGGAAGCAATGGCACATCCCTACTTCGCGCCCGTCTGCGCCGCCGAGGCCGCCGCGCTCGAGGCACCAACTAAATCATAAACAACCACACACCTAAAGTAAGGCCCCAAAAAGGGCCCCTACCGACGATAACCCAATCCAAGCCATCTCACCTAGCCCATATTATACATCCCCACTGGGCATGGAAAAGGGGGGGGGGGACAAAGGCGACTTGGCAAGTATTTTCATGAAGCATGCATAAGGCGCGTTTAACTATGCGATGGGGGGGGGAGGTATTACGCAAATACGAGCAGAGCAGCGGAAGGGGGGAGCGAGGTTGTGGGTGTGTTGTGATGTTTTGTTTGTGTTGTTTTGTCAGCATACCTAACTGCTTCAGTGTGTGAGCATTGACGACTGTTGGCGTGGTGAGGGGGGGGCTCGTTTGTACATAGCGTCACATAGCGTCTTGAGCATACGATGATGGTAAACACCTGTTATGGTGTATTTTATGCTTTCTGTGACAAAAAGCGTGTCTTGTGAATGCTGGCTGTGTAGACGGACACTCATGATGGCCATAGTAGACCAAGCGAATTCCCATCCCATCTATCTACCTACGATTGAAACTGCAGCGCCATTGACATGTATAAGCCAGGGTTTGTATAGTTAGCTCAATATTTCTCATTCAAACGTAGACCGTTTATGTATTAACCAGGATTGTATAATTCAATATTTCTCATTAAACATAAACCGTCTCAGTCACCATTTTTCAACCACCCATCCGCCATCCATCTCTATGAAGAGAACCCTTCCCCAAGCATCTGAACTAATACAGCACCGCTCGCTCGCTCGCTATGCAAACTCGCTCTCTGTATTGCCTCTCACCGCTGACCCCTTCTAGGCCCCGAATCTTCATTTTATATCCACCTCCCCCGTCATGCATGGGCTATATACACCACCACTCTTATCAATCCCTCGTTCGTCGCCCCCCCGATCAACCCCTCAATGCACCTTCCCCCTCGCATCCGCCACATCAGCCACATACCCCTTCCCCCCCCTGAAACTCGCACTCCTCAGCCTCTCCGCCCTCTTCCCCGTCTCCGCCAGCTTCCGTTCCCTCTCCAAATCCCTCGCCTTAACCTCCGGGATCGTCAGGCAGTTAATCCCCAAATACCCGCAGATGGAGTTAATCACCAGCCACGCCCAGCGGAAGTAGACTACGGCTGCGAACACAAAGTACGCGCGGAGGTAGAGTAGTTCCATGCCTGCGGTGAGGGGAGGGAAGCCGAGCATGGGGGGGAGGTTGAAGATTATGGCGCCTCCGACGAGAGGCCAGAGCATGACGGTCCAGTAGGGGAAGGGCTGGCGCGTTAGGTGGGCGAGGATGATTTTCGTGGTCATGCGACCGAAGACGAAAGCCATGGTGAGGCAGAAGAGGACGAGGTGGTTCTCAGCCATCAATGTGGAGTGCGGGGAGAGCAGCCACGCGCCAACGGCGACGCCGAATGTGATCATTGGCGTCCACTCCAGGAACACGGGAGCGACGGGGAGATTGTCCCTGCGGCGCGCGCGCACGACGTTGAGCACGCAGAAGGGGATTTGCGTCCCGAAGAGCGTGAGGATGATGATTCCGACCCAGACGTCGCGGAAGGTGAGGGCGGAGAGGGAGGAGGGGAACCAGGCGGTTCCGAAGAAATCGGTGAGTGGCTGCGTCCAGATGACGGGCCCAAAGTGGCCGGCGAGAATCATGATTACGCATGCGATGATGAGACCCTCTGTTGGGCCGTTGATGACGCCTAGGTACAGGGTGTGTGTGTGGTATGTCTCCCAGGTTGAGAAGAACATGGGTATGCAAGGCACGAGGGCCGTGAACATTGCGGCTTTGGAGCTTCCGAGACCCATGGCTGCGGTCTCGAGGAGGCTGGCTAGAGTGCAGTTTAGGGAGTCGATGCCGTGGTCGAAGAGCTCGCCGAGGGGGCTGGAGGTGCCGGTGCGGCGCGCTTGCTTGCCGTCGATGTTGTCCATGGTCGAGTAGGCCCAGAGGCCGAAGGCGAAGCTGTAGTAGATCCATGACGGATCCTAGATTCGAACATAAGCTGTAGCTCGCGCTAGGGGATACGGGGGAGGGTGCTGCGTACCTGCCCATTCATCTCGGGTTGCCATATGACCAGGAAAACCACATTACTGATAATGCAGAAGAAGCCCAGCAGCGTCACCATATTCGGCGCCAGCCACAGGGGTAGGAATTCCACACATGCATTCCACTGTATCCCTTTCGTTAGATAAATCGGTACATCTCAATATCCCCAAACCCAGGGCGCGTTGTGGACGTACGTAGTGTTTTAGGATATAATTCGAAATATAGCTCTCATCGACGCTCGAGTACCTGTACGACTTGAGGTGGACCAGCGCATCCTCGCTCAGCGACTCTGCCGCAGCAGCCTCTACACTCGCCAGCATGTTAGTGAAGGTCGTCCGGTTAGAGTCTGAACGCAGCCGCAGGTGGGCTTTACTTTTGCTGCTCGAAGACATCGTGGCCAGGCCGCTTGTAGGGTCTTCGTTCGTTCTGGCTCCGGGTTGGGAGAGAGGGAGGGCAGGTTGAGAGCGAGTTGAAATAATCTGAGCTGTGCGCACACCCCCCTTCAGCTATGGGCACAGCGCGAGCTCTACTTCGTCTATATCTTGTCTGTAGGCCGGGGTGGGACGCTGGCGGGACGCTGGGCGCACAGGGGTGTGTCGTTGTTGTGTCTTTAGAAAATTGTAGGGTTTGGCGTGGTAGAGAAGCAGAGGGTTTAGAGAGCAAATAGGGGATTATAGAAGCAGAGGCATTTCTATTTTTTAAGCAAAGTCTAGGTCATAGGGAAGCGCGAGAGCAAAATATATCATGAGGAGGGGGGTGCTGACTAAATCGCCCACACACACACACACACACACTGACACTACAGTTAAAATCAGTGCGCAACTTAAAATTTTGGTGTCTTCAGTCCCGATGCAAGCCAGGGTCGACCCTGAGATTTTGAGATTTGATCACACCCCCCGCCACTAACCACATCAAGTCGTCACGAGCAGTATTTGTTGAGGCTTGGCATGTGACCAGATCATTCTATTACTGTTGAGTAACCTGTGTGTTGTTCTGTCTATCTATTGCTGCCTGAAATTGCGGGGAAGTGGTGCTGAGATCATGTGACATATTACAACACACCCCCCCATGTATCCCAGTACCGCATACTAAGTAGGAAGGCTCGCAGGCAAATCCGTATGGGTCTGAATTTGGAGTTCTGGGCCAACAACCTTTATCTACCCCCACCCCCGCCACTACCAAGCACCAACTTTCCACTCTCGCACAGCTCCGTACGTGACTCACAATGACTGTTTATTGGTGAAATCAAGCCTCAAGACATGGCTCTGGTTGAGATCAGGGCTGACCTCCATGATGACTTGCCGGAGTATGAGAGGGTCAAAATACCATCCCTACCCCCAATTGTGGTTGGCGTGGAATTGGCCCGTCCGTACGGTGTTGCTGGTGTGGTGGAGTCTGACCACCCACAACAGACAACGGCTTGGTACATCCAGGCTGTAGGAGACATGGATGCTGGCTGTGACCAGTGTGTACACGATCGGGGCAGTGCTCGGGCTCGTCCCTTCTTCTCTGCCTGCCATCACTATGGCGAGCTGCAGGAAGGAGCCTGTGGTAACTGTGCAATGAAGCACAAGTCAGCTGCTTGTTCCTTGAGTAAGTTTGTACCTTTCTGTTGATTCCTATGCTGCGTACGACACTAACACATAGTAGGCCACAACCACCTCCGCCATCTCCCAAAGCTGGGAAAAGATCTGGCACCCGTGCCTTCGCCCGACAGAAAGCTATTGATGAAGAAGCTGCTGCTCAGCTTCGTGGGTAATCTCCGTACGCCTCACTTCTAGTGCTCTCAGTGTTCTGGTGCTCTCGGTGTTCTGGTGCTCTCGGTGTTCTGGTGCTCTTGGGTTCTGGTGCTCTCGGTTGTGAATGAGGCCTAAATGACAGTGGATTTCTCTGCAATTTTAATGTGACAGGTCCGTACGTAGTTGTGAGTGTGGGAAAATGGGTGATTCTCCTGTTTTTGTATAGTAAAAGTCAGGGATTTCTCCTGCTCTTGTCTGCCTTCCCCCCTTTGTTGAAATGGGTTTGGAATTTCGAAAAATGAATGTGAAATCTCCATGCATATATGTAATGGTGGGTGCACCAGATATGAGAATCTAGCCACCCAAGGAAGGGATGAATTTACTAAGACAACACACTGTCTTAGGAAACAGAGCCAAAGGGTTGTAGCTTAGACTATTCCACAACGCAGCAATCAGGTGTATGATGTGGTGAAGTGGTTTAGACAAGTTGCAACAAATGTTGAGTCTGAGAACTCAGGGGTAAGTCAGAGGTTAGCACCTCACTGACTTTTCAAAAACAGAGAATAACAAGATCAATGCTTGGAAGCTTGGAAAAGACGTAGAAGTATGTGCTAGTCGATTTACTGTATTGCCTGCTTGCCCTTTCTTAAGGAAAGGGCAATCCTATTTATGCCAAAGGAGTGTAGTTCTCTCATTTTCCATGACTTTCCATGACTAACCAGGCTTGGTAAATGTATTAGAAATCAAGTGCGACCCACAACTAGCTTGCTAATCATGTAGTGAACGTAAGAGAATCCCATAGAACCATCTCTTGGGTTCCTAGCCTATAGGAAGTGAAAAGGAGGTCCAAGGTCAGAGTACCTATAGACAAATTATGTCATAACTTAACCAATCTTGTGGGTAACTAAGGAGCGATGACGTGTAATGAATCATAGAGGGTTGTAGAAGCTTCTAGAGCTATCGTTCATGTTCCTAGGCCTCTAGTTGGTAGAGATATGCCATGTGGTAGTATTGGCCCACCCCCTTAAGGAGGAGATTTTCTTAATAACTTGTTCAATGAGTGTCCAAATGATATGCCGTGATGTATGTAGCATAAACAGATATAGTAGAAGAGTTTGCAGCAATCGTTGAGTAGTATTGCTTCTGTTGTTGGTGTGATAAGCCAAGATATGTATGGTGACTTGTAGGTTTGAGGAGGAGATTTCTAAGTTTGCTCTTGAGTTTGATAGCAAACTGAGTGCAACGAATGTCAGTATGACAATATATTGCATCTATGTCGTACGGAGTTGTGTAGTCTTCCAAATGAGTGTATGTTTATTATTTCCCAAGGTATTCCATTGGGAAAGTTGAAATAAGAACGCATAGTAAAACTAGGTGTAACTGTAGGCAGCTTTGGTGCTTTTGAGAGTTCTACCTCCATACGGAACTCATCCATTAGCTATTCTTGTCTTGCCTCACTTTTCAGTTAATGAAGTAGAAGACTAGACTCTTTGGTCTAGGGGGCTGCTTTCCATAGTACAAAGGTAGCCAGTGCTTCGTATGGGGTTGTGTTGTATGTATGCACTCCTATAGGAGATGCTTTATGTCTACAAGGTTCAAATGTTTAATGAACTCCTTGTGCTTCTGATGGGGTAGGGCCTTAGTAAAGCCGTCTGTTGGCATCTCGTACGTAGCTATCCACTTAATGTCGAGGTTATGCTGCTCAACCTCCTGTCTTAACCAATGTGAGTGGACGTCAATATGCTTCGGTGTAATGGTGGGTGCACCAGATGTGAGAATCTAGCCACCCAAGGAAGGGATGATTTTACTAAGACAACACACTGTCTTAGGAAACAGAGCCAAAGGGTTGTAGCTTAGACTATTCCACAACGCAGCAATCAGGTGTGTGATGTAGTGAAGTGGTTCAGACAAGTTGCAACAAATGTTGAGTCTGGGAACTCAGGGGTAAGTCAGAGGTTAACACCTCACTGACTTTTCAGAAACAAGGAGTAACAAGATGAATGCTTGGAAGCTTGTAAAAGACGTGGAAGTATGTGATAGTCTATTTACTGTATTGCCTGCTTGCCCTTTCTTAAGGAAAGGGCAATCCTATTTATGCCAAAGGAGTGTAGTTCTCTCATTTTCCATGACTTTCCATGACTAACCAGGCTTGGTAAATGTATTAGAAATCAAGTGCGACCCACAACTAGCTTGCTAATCATGTAGTGAACGTAAGAGAATCCCATAGAACCATCTCTTGGGTTCCTAGCCTATAGGAAGTGAAAAGGAGGTCCAAGGTCAGAGTACCTATAGACAAATTATGTCATAACTTAACCAATCTTGTGGGTAACTAAGGAGCGATGACGTGTAATGAATCATAGAGGGTTGTAGAAGCTTCTAGAGCTATCGTTCATGTTCCTAGGCCTCTAGTTGGTAGAGATATGCCATGTGGTAGTATTGGCCCACCCCCTTAAGGAGTAGATTTTCTTAATAACTTGTTCAATGAGTGTCCAAATGATATGCCATGATGTATGTAGCATAAACAGATGTAGTAGAAGAGTTTGCAGCAATCGTTGAGTAGTATTGCTTCTGTTGTTGGTGTGATAAGCCAAGATATGTATGGTGACTTGTAGGTTTGAGGAGGAGATTTCTAAGTTTGCTCTTGAGTTTGATAGCAAACTGAGTGCAACGAATGTCAGTATGACATTCAGCTTTGTAACTAGCTTTGGAGACTCCTTAAGTAAGATCCGTACGGTCTGCAAATTATCACAATTAAGTGAGTATTGCTCATTTAGATCGAGTTTGATTGTGTTGAAGAAACGCTGCCACCAATAGAGCTGTTTCGCACTGTGGGACAAAGCTAGAAGCTCTGCCTCTGTTGTAGAGGTTGACACAGTCTTCTGCTTTGAGCAGCGCCAGTCTATTGCCCCTCCAAATAAGGTAAACAAATAACCCTCTGTGCTCTTTCTTGTTGATTCGCAGTCTGCATACGAAGCGTCACTAGAGCATTGAAAGCGAGCCTCTTGAATATTAGGTCCAAACTGAAGAGCTAGGGTCTTAGTATCCTTAAGGTAGAGTAGAAGTCTGTCGACTGCAGCCATGTGGTCTGGGCCTGGATTGATGAGAAATTCAGATAGTTTCTGTGTCGTACGGGCTATATCAGGTCTCGTTACGACTGCTGCGTAGTTTGCTGATCCTACTTTCTGTTGGTAAAGATGGATTTGTTGCTTATCTGCCTGGCCGTCAAATTGGGTTAGGTTGTCTGTAACCATTGGCGTTCGGGTGGATCGAATAGAGGCTACTCCGTACGTAGTTGTGATCTTGTCGATATAGGAGTCCTGTGTTACGACGGAACAAGAAGGCTGGCCAACTACAGGACAGGAAGGAGGGAGGTCGCATGAGACTGGCCCTGGTACCTGGAGGGGCAGCGGGGAATAGTAGTTCCAAAAGTATCACGTGACGGACTCGCAGGATGATGAGAAGAGTCCTAAGAGTCCAGGACTCCGAGGACTCGAGTGAGTTCCCAGGAGTCCACTAGGCACGTGACGGACTCGCAGGATGATGAGAAGAATCCTAAGAGTCCAGGACTCTGAGGACTCGAGTGAGTTCCCAGGAGTCCACTAGGCACGACGCCACTATATAAGTAGATAGTATTTCCTTAGATAGGAGCTTCGTGCTCAACTCAATACAGTATTTGTTATATACTAGTAACGTGTTACTTGAAGCCTTTGTGTCTGATCCCCTGCCTCCTCTGATAAGTAAACCTTTACGCAAGAGAACCTCTGTGCCTTCTATCGTTTAGAAGTCAGCGTTACATCCTGGCACAGCCATAGGGTTTTCTGGGTGCGGTCCCTCACAATTCTTATGCCTAAGAACCATTGAAGTTCTCCTATTTCTCGAAACTCATACGCTTCCATCAGTCTCGTACGGAACTGTGTTGCCTCCATTTTGTGGCTAGGATGGCTAAGGATGCAAATATCGTCAACATAGAAGAAGACAATAATCTTTGAAGATACAAAGAGGCACTGTGCTTCTGGGACCTGTACGAGGCCTAGAGCCTTGAGTGTCTCTGAGAAGTCTTGAAACCAGAGTAAGGGGGACCTTCGAAGTCCATAGAGTGCCCTGTTAAGTTTCCAGCATTTTCCTTGCTCCTGGTAGCCGTCTGCACACCGTACGTAGACCTCCTCGTCAATACGGCTGTTTGTGAATGCGTTTATAGCATC